CAGATGGGTTTCCAGCCGGGTTTTTTCAAAGAAATTGGGGTTTACTTAAGATGGATATTGTTCGGGCTGTCCAGCAATTCTTTATTTCGGGATGTATGCCAGAGGGGATATATGATACAACTATTGTTCTTATTCCTAAAATTAAGAATCCCCGGTCGATGAAAGATTTTCGACCTATTAGCCTTTGCAATGTTATATACAAAATTATCTCAAAGTGCCTTGTCAATAGGCTAAGACCGCTGCTGGATGGTATGATCTCCCCTACCCAAAGTGCTTTTATCCCCGGAAGATTAATTTCAGATAATGCTCTTATCGCCTTTGAATGTATGCACTCATTGAATACTTTGAAAGATTCTCGTGGAGAATACTGTGCATATAAACTGGACCTAGCTAAAGCATACGATCGTGTTGACTGGAAGTTCCTGGAATGTATGCTTCGTGCATATGGTTTTGATCCAATCTGGATTAATTGGATTATGACTTGTGTTACCTCAGTAAAATTCTCGGTGCGCTTTAATGGCCAGTTGTTAGAGTCTTTTCATCCTTCACGTGGGATGAGGCAAGGGGATCCATTATCGGCGTAGTTATTCCTCTTTGTTGTTGAGGCCCTCTCGCTATTACTCAATGATGCGTCGGCAAGAGGGACTATCCAAGATTTCCGACTAAACAGACATGCTCCAGGTATATCTCATTTATTATTTGTCGATGATAGTCTCCTATTTTTTAAGGGTTCTCTTGATAAAGCTTTGGCTATTAAAGATATTTTGACGACTTATGAGGAAGGTACAGGCCAATTATTAAGTCCAGACAAGTGTTCCATTTTATTTGGCAAAAAGTGTCCTATTGAGATCCAGGTGTCTCTTCTGGTTATCCTTAAAATCACGTGCGATGGGTTTGAGGATAAATACCTTGGCCTCCCAGTTCCAGAAGGTCGTATGAAGGCCGGCAAATTTCAATATACAAAAGATAAAGCTCTTAAGAGGGGTTCAGACTGGATCGAAAAATATGCTTCTAGCGGGACGAAGGAAATCCAGATTAAGTCTGTTATTCAGGCCATTATGGTCTATGCCATGAGTATTTTTAAATTCCCTATGACTCTTTGTGATGAACTATCTCAAATTATACGGAATTTTTGGTGGGGTGATGAGGAGAATAGAAGAAGAACTCATTGGTTGGCTTGGGAAAAATTAACAAAGTCAAAAGGTGAAGGGGGTATGGGATTTCGGGACCTCGGGCTTTTCAATCAAGCACTTTTGGCCAAACAAGCTTGGCGTTTATTGGTTTTTCCAGACACTTTGTGTGCAAAGGTGATGAAAGCTAAATATTATCCTCATGGGCATCTTATTGATACTGTCTTCCCTCAAGCGACTTCGCTTACATGGCAAGGTATTGTGCATGGACTCGAGTTGTTGAAAAAGGGTATCATCTGGAGAGTCGTCGATGGTGCTAGTATAAATATTTGGAGGGATAATTGGCTTCCGAGGGATTCTGGCCTAAAAATTTCTGCTAAGAGGACCAGAACGAGGGTCAAATGGGTTGCTGATTTATTCATGAGTGGCTCAAGGAGATGGGATGAGAATTTAATCAGGCATCTGTTTTACCCTCATGATGCGGAGGAAATTTTAAAGTTACGCATTCTGAATTTGAACGAGGGTGACTTCATCGCGTGGCACCATGAGAAAAATGGATTGTTTTCAGTGAAGAGTGCGTATAGGTTGGCCCTGAATATTAAGGACTCGGACATGGCACCGGGGAACTCCAGTGTATATGTTAATGGGGAAAGGAGGCTCTCAAATATTATTTGGAAGGCTAATGTACCTTAGAAGATTAGAATCTTTGCTTGGAGGGCTGCATCTAATAGCCTAGCCGTACAAGTTAACAGAGTAAAACACCATCAAGCTATCCTAGGTACGTGCTCAATCTGTGGTGTTGAAGATGAATGTGTTTTTCATGCTTTGGTATGCTGTCCCAAGGTACGTGCATTCCGTATGGGTTTGAGAGAGGTGTGGAATTTGCCGGATGAAGACATTTTAAACTGTTCGGGGCCGGACTGGTTACTTATTTTATTGGATCAGTTAAGTTCGCCTATGCGTGAGCAAACAATTTTCATGTTCTGGAGAGCTTGGCATTTGAGAAATGACTTGATTTTTGGTAAAGGAAAGGAATCTATCTCGGCCTCAGTGAGTTTTATTCAAAATTATTGGGCTTCATTCTCATCTTGTCATGCAAAAATGAAGGTAGAGGTAAGTAACAAAGGTAAGGATGTGGTTGATGGTTTACAACCCATTAGTAATGTGGACAGGATTTGTGTTCCATGGCTGCCTCCCACTCCGGAATTCCTTAAGATTAATGTTGAAGCAAGTTTTGTGGAGGCCGTTAGTGCAGCGAGCGTTGAGGTGGTTGTTAGAAATCATTTTGGAGAAGTTCTTATTTCTTCTTGGGATTATATTGGTTCATGTCTTTGTGCTGAGGAAGCGGAACTTCGAGCAGCCATCTTAGTTTTGTGGCAAGAGCTGTAACGAATGATTGTACGAACATTTGTGTCAATTAATTAATATATGGGTGGGGTTTTTCAAAAAAAAAGTGTTGAAATGCATAGAGCAGATTCCCACCTTTTCCTTCGTCGAAGTGTTGATGAGAAAGAACAATCATGTTATAGTTGCTATTAATTTTTATTATTATTGGTTGTTGCTTGTGTGTCTCTTTATCCTCATTTTAACTGTTGCTTATTGGCAGATGAGAAAATAATCAAGGTTCATTAGAAAATGGGCAGTGGTGTGGCGTGGGAGATGAAGATCAATGGAAAAGCTTCTTTACAAGATTGTGAACTTGGACTTTCTATTTATCCTATAATATAAAAACAGGCCATGTTGTGTTCTATACATGGAAAGGTGCCTGTTACTGTGTCAAACCAAACACTGTTTAGGTACTTGTTTTCTTTACACTGTAGAACAAAACAAAATGGAGTTTGTCCAGTCCGGTACTGTTACAGTCTGTAATCAATTCCCATTTACGTTTACGCTACCATTTACATTTACATTACCACTGGATGAAACAAACATCTCCTAAACAGCAGTCTAACAATCGATTGCAGAGATTAAAAAGCTGAATTGCTCTGGAGCAAAGTTTGTCTAACTTGGAAAATCAAATTGACCTTCCCAACGTCGTTGGTGTAGACCAGGCGCGTGACGCACGGCCAGACCTTCAGCCAGATCGGTTTCACAAGCAAATAAATTAGTTCAGAGAGCGATTTATGGATCGATGAAGCTAATGGCGGACGTACCATCTTGGCGTCGCCGAAGTCGCGGCTGACGATGGAGTAGAGGCGGAGTTTGTGGGGCTTGCCGATCTCATCCTCGCCGTCAGCGACCGTGTGCTGCCGGAGACCAGAGGAGGGGAGGAAGCGCTTAGAGCTGCCGCAGCCCGCCATGGCAACCGCGAGAGCTCGACCACATTGCCTAGTTTTTCAAAATCGAAACCGGCGGCCTCAGTGGTTTTTAAAGCTAATAAGACCATTCTGCAATCAGATCAAAGAAAACGTGTCAAACCGGTCGATTTTGTAGAAAAACTGTGAAAAAACCGAGCCATTGAACTAGGAAAAACCAAGAAAATAGAAAACCGGTTAAAAAACAAGCCATTGAACCGGGAAAAACCAGGAAAATATTTTAATAAAAATTGGGAGAAGTGGAATTCAATCCCAAGTCCTCTGAGCAGTGCGCGGCTGTGCTACTTTGTTGTCCACTACATGAAAATAATTTTATTTGACCATTGTTTCACATTATATTAGCACATATATTACTCAACATATGTTATCTTATTGATTAAAAAACCAACAATCGAACTGGTGAAACGGCGGTCCGACCGGTAGAAGCCTGAATCGACAACCTTTACGGTTCGGTTTTTTAAACTAAGCCAGATTGGTCAACTCTAACAGTGGCGGCAGAGGGGTGGCTAAGTTTATGCACGGATCTACATACAAGTCCACATGGCCTCTACAGTGTGAGTTAAGTCGACGATCGTTTATGTCAGTGGGAGTTGAATCAGACGATCGTCTATGCCGAAATCGGAGTCGTTTGCTCAGGCTTCAGGTATGACAATGACGCCTTCCGAAGAGAAGTGATAACAGTGACGCCTGCATATTATCTCGGTAAGACATCTTTCAAGTGGTATCTCAGAGGATCGCTTCTGTACGACGATGACGTCACTAGAGTGACAACGTCTTGAAGTGGTATCTTGTTTGTGTGTGACAACGATGACGTCTGCATATTGTCTCAACAAGACCTCTGCATATTGTGTGTGCCGCTCAATAGTTGTGATGATTTTTGCCCTAATCTGATTTTCTCTCGGTTTTCTCGATCAACTCTTTTCTTCTTAATTAATGCAGAAATCTGATTTTCGCTCGGTTTTCCTGATCAACTCTTTTCTTCTTAATTAATGCAGAAATCCTACCATTTCAAACAGAAAACATCTTTTCTGCACGCACATAAAAATCTAGATCTATTAAACATATCACAGCAATTCTTTTGCTTTTCGCAGGCGCTTCAATTTCCTTTCTTTCAGTTTATACGTTAGATGGGCTAGAAATTTAAGAAATATGTGCAATTTACAACTGTGCAATTCAAAGAATTTCCCAAGCTCTGTACTCAATGAGGTATGAGAGGAAAAAACCTGACTAATGAGCACATAACGATGAATCTGGAATTATTACAACACCTTAGTCAAAGTTTAAAATATCTTACAAAAGCATTAACGTAATCCTCATATGCTCATGGTTAGCTTATTATGCATACGCCCTCCGTCCTAAAATACTTGTCATCAAAATGGATCAAAAGAGATGTATCTAGAACTAAAATACGTCTAGATACATCTCTTTTATCCATTTCGATGACAAGTATTTCCGGACGGAAGGAGTATGTTTTATTAGCAAGAAGGACAACATCCAAGTCCTAGTATGCAACCGTTGGCAGAAGCACAGCTTAGTAGCAGTAATGATAGCACCACTAGATGTAAGTAGGGTATCGGTATGGAGGGTTGGTGGTCGCTTCCAGCTCGACCCATTCAGGATTGGTGGTGATGGTTTCCACATCAACTCCCTTTGGTAAATGAACATACAGTCTGCCATGAACCACCTTATAATCAGCGAAGACTCGCTTGAGAAGTTTGTCACCATCACCTAGAATAAATTCACCTGGTTTGTCGCCAAACTCCTCATCAATCTTTTTAAGAATAGGATCATGACAGCAACAGAGCTTCCTTAGCTTCCCATCCGCGAATTTGTTTATTCCCAATTTGTAGGGCAGATTAGCATTGTTCCGACGGTGGACAAGCAGGACAGTCTCCTTGAATGTGTTGAACCAGTGAACCATCTCATCATGATCACGCTTTTGGTTGAAATCTTTGCACCAGCGCTCATACAAGGCCCAAAGGGCTGCTTCTGACTCAAGGTCTTTCTCCTCTACCACAAACTTCACCTTACCTTCCTGCCTTTGTTCTATAAGCAAAAAATGTAATCTTCTGTCATATTGCAATTAAATTCACAGGGTCTGATGTAAAATTAAAGCTGTCGGTAAAACACCAATGATATGTCATGTACAAAATAAAAAAGGCAGTCTTTGTAAGGAAAGATAGAGTCCTAAGTATCGCTGGGGATTACAGAAAGAATAAAAGGGAACATTCAGGCTGCAGCCCACAGCTTAGAACACAAAGGATCAAGCAAGCATAACAGAAGAAAAGGTGCCAGACAACCAGCAAAAGGATATCGAGCATCCAAAAGAATCAGCCAGTTTATCTTCATATATTTCCATGCAACTGGTACAAAGCAAGATCTAATGTCCAATTGTAATTTAAGACAGAGTCCTGGTGCACTAGTAAAACTTAGCAGAACACCCGTCATGCGTTAGTCTTATTCACCCACATACGCCGTATGCAACAAATTTATCAGAATGCGTTCAACTGCACAAACACAGTTATGTTTAATAAAATAATGGATTCTCGCATGCTAAAAAACGTAAAATATTCCGGACTTGACGGACAATGAAAGAAAAAAAACCTAAAGACGGGCAGTCCCATCCCCACTTCCTCCTTCCTATGACGCCTAAGGGTGCCAAGCCATGATCCTGTTCTAGCAGCTACATGGCCTTGTTCGGTTAAGGGGATTGGAGAGGATTGAACGAGATTTAGAGGGTTCTTAACTTGTAGGGGATTTAATCCCTCCAAATCCACCTCAATCCCCTTCAAATCCACCTCAACCGAACAAGGACTGAAGAGGGGGGCACTGGATTTACCTTCTGGGTGACTGAGTGTCAGGGAGGCAGGTGCCATGGCGCGTGGAGGAGCATGGACAGTGGATTGGTTCATACGCAGATCTACGGAGGCGGCACGATCTGAACCTAAGATAGCGTGAGGTTTGGTCGCCACCGCCTTCGTGGAGAGGGTCGCTGCTTCAACGAATTGGGCGAAGCGAGATGTGGTCGCCGCAGCTGAGCGAGCGGCACGGCCGATCCGCACGAGTCGGGAAGCTGCTGAAGGCATGGTGAAAGATAACGAGGAAGGACCTGGATCTGGATGGTGGCGACCAGTGTCGGCGTTCTCTTTCTATAAGACGAGTCTGGTTAGGGTTTCGGAGTTCGACAACATAGGAAGCGTCTGGAGCAAGGCCGGTGTAAGGATAATGGGCACATTTCTTGGGAAGGGGCCGCGAGGACCAAGCCCAAGAAATTGGCCACTTGGACCGCGGATGTCGCATTCTGTGAGGAATTCACGAGGGCGTCAGGAGCACTGTAGTCCACAGTTTTTCTATAGTTTTGTTTGTTTCTTTTCTATTTCGTTTTTCTTTGTCTGTTTCACGATTTTTCAACGGTTTTCTTCACTTTTCATTTTTATTCCACTGACTTCGGTCTTTTATTTTCCTTTTTCTTTGGTTTCACCAGTTTTCTTCTGTTTTTTCCTTATTTTTTTCTTTCATTTACTTACTTTTTCTAAACAAATAAATATATATATATGTATATATATATATATATATATTTTTAAAATATTTGAAAGTTTTTTCGTACACACCAGGAAGTTTTATGTACATTTAATAATTTTAAAATACATGATTAACATTGTTTAAATATTGTTCTTTAGGAGTTCAAATATATGTTTTGACATCTACTTTTTTAATACATATTATACATTTTTTGTATATCTAAAAAATACAATACATGATTAAAAAATTGAATACTTATTTTCAACATTTTTCTAATAAGTAATAATTTTCTAAAAAAACATTGAAATAATTTTGTGTATGGTACAGAACAATTTTTAAACTATGTGAACATTTTTATACATTGGATTTTTCAAAATGTTTGCTGGAAATGCATGAAGATTTTTCCACATGTAACATGCATCTTTTTAATGTTACGGAATATATATTTAATTACACGGTTTTTTTACTCTGTATACCATTTTCTTTTTAGAATTGCCACGTACATTTTGAAACGTATGAACATTCTTTTAAGTTGAGCGAACATTTTTTGACATTGTATTTGCAATTTTTGAAATGTGCACACTTAAAAAAATAACTACTTTAGTTTTTCATGATATATGTATTACTCCCTCCATTTCATAATTCTAGTCGTGATTTTAGTTCAAATTTGAAGAAAAAGATGACAAGAATTATGGAACAGAGGGAATAGTATTTTTCAAAATATAAACAAAGGTAAAAAGGAAAAGCACGCATTAAATCAGTGGGACTTAGCATGTGGTTACTGGGCCGGCCCATTGTCGCACACGCTTCAAGCGAGACCTTGTTTGGTCCCGCAATAAGCCATACATACTCGCTCCCCTTCAAAATGTTACTCTCATCTCTTCTGGTGAGTTTTGAATGTTGATTCTCATTTTTCGTTAGGTTTCTTTTTGTGGTTTTTTGGAGTTTTCTTAACACCTGTTGGGTTAATCTATGGTCAACATGTGCAATTTGGGGGATGTGGAGGGGTACGTAGGATCGGTATGTTTAGCGATTTTTGGTGGGTGGTCTGCACGTGTCGTTGACTGGATCGTTGGTCGATGATTCGAGAAATGAACATTCTTATCTCTATCCCACATCTCAAGATTTTTCCTTAGATGTCTCTCTCTTTCCAGAAGACTCATGTCACCACCGCTTCATCGCCTTACGCTCCTACTCTCTTCATTCGGAATTACTTGTCTCGAAAATGGATGTATCTAGAACTAAAATACATTTAGATACATCCATTTCTACGACAAGTAATTCCGAACGGAGGGAGTATAAATTAACCCCATTCCTCGTCGAGGCCCCCAACAACAACTACACTCATCCTCCTTGTTGAATATGTAATTGCATATATTACTTGTGCGTCAAGCCCACCTCATATTCCATGTATAGTTAAGGACGTGGCTACCCTTGTACATCATATATACGTGCCTATGCACCCGATCAATACATTGTGAGTTACGTTGCCAAACTACATGGTATCAGATAGGTTCCAATCCTAGACCTAACTTCCTCCCTTGTGGCATTGCAGGTCCTTGCCGCTGCCGCGCCTTCCTTGTCGTAGGTCCTTGCCACCGCCGCAGGTCCTTGTCGTCGCCGCCTAACTCGAACTAACCTATCACCCCGCCGCGTTGTTGCCACTACACCGAAGCCACGCGTGTTGCCCTTCTTTTTCGTTCGCTCGCCTCGATCTCTCCAAAAATCAAAGCCCTGATATGTCTTCGTCGTATATACTTTTCCAAACACTTTTGCTCTTGTTTTGGACTCTAATTTGCATGATTTGAATGAAACTAACCCGGACATACGCGGTTTTCAACAGAACTATCATGATGTTGTTTTTGTGCAGAAATAAAAGTTCTCGGAATTCGATGAAACTTTTTAGAGTTTTTTATGGAATAAATAAAAAATACTGGAGCGAAGACCCACAGGAGGGGAACCGCCAGTGGCCCACAAGCCACCAGGGTGCGGCCACCCCCGTAGGCGCGCCCTGGTGCCTTGTGGGGCCCACGTAGCTCCGCTGATCCTAACCTCAAGCCTATAAATTCCAATTTTGAAGAAAAAAATAAGAGAAGAAGTTTCATCGCGTTTTATTATATGGAGCCGCCGCCACCTCCTGTTCTTCATCGGGAGGCTAGATCTAGAGTCCATTCGGGGCTCCAAAGAGGGGGGGATTCGTCGCCATCATCATCACCAACCCTTCTTCATCACCAAGTTCATGATGCTCACCATCGGGTGTGAGTAATTTCTTCGTGGGCTTGCTGGACGGTGATGGGTTGGATGAGATTTATCATGTAATCAGGTTAGTTTTGCTAGGGCTTGATCTCTAGTATCCACTATGTTCTGAGATTGATGTTTCTATGACTTTGCTATACTTAATGCTTGTCACTAGGGTCCGAGTGTCATGATTTCATATCTGAACCCTTTATATTTTCATGAATATATTTGTGTTCTTGATCCTATCTTGCAAGTTATACGCACATATTACGTGTTATGATCCGCATACCCTAAGGTGATAATAATTGGGATTCTTTTCAGTGATTACCGAAATTTGAGGAGTTCATGTATTTACTATGTGTTAATGCTTTGTTTCGGTTCTCTATTAAAAGGAGGTCTTAATATCCCTTAGTTTCCTTATGGACTCAGCTGCCACGAGAGGGTAGGACAAAAGATGTCATGCAAGTTCTTATTACAAGCACGTATGACTATATACATAATACATGCCTACATTACATTGATAAATTGGAGTTAGTTCTGTGTCGCTCTAGGTTGTGACTGTCACATGATGAATGTCATCCAACATAATTATCCATCACTGATCCAATACCTATGGATTTCGCATACTGATCTTGCTAAGTTACTATTGTTGTTGCTGCTGTTACAATCACTATAAACTATTACCGTTAATGTTGCTAATTCTACTACCGCTATTAAGCTATCATACTAATGTGATATTGATCACTCTACTGCAGATATTCCAGGTGTGGTTGAATTGACAACTCAACTGTTAATACTTGCAAATATTCTTTGGCTCCCCTTGTATCGAATCAATAAATTTGGGTTGAATACTCTACCCTCGAAAACTATTGTGATCCCCTATACTTATGGGTTATCAAGACCTTTTTCTGGCGCCGTTGTCGGGGAGCATAGCTCCATTTGCTGAGTCACTTGGGATTTATATCTGTTTATCAATATGAAGAATCTGAAGGATGATAGAACCAATATCGTTCCCTCTAGAATGAGGGGAGGTAAGGAACTGTTATCTAGCTCTGCACTTGATTCACCTTCTGTTTTGAGTAAGCTTGTGACACCACCACCTGCTATTAATTCTGATATGTCGCAAGTAACTGATGATGCTACTTCTGCTATAAATGATGCTAGTGCTCTGCTTGACGATACTGTGCCACTAGGTGAATTTCTTGATGAACAACTTGATAAAGCTAAAGAAAATGAGAATGTTGAAACTCATGAAATTCATGGTTCACCTATTACACCTAGCTCTCATAGAATTGAAATACCTGAGATACTCGAGGGTTTTGTTGGTGCAAAAAGTGCCTTAAATATAGCAAATGAGACCTGAAATGGGCCAGAAAATCAAACCTGTGGTATAATGGTGATTGCTTAAAGTGGAAAATAATTTGAGGCGAAACAATGAACCCACGTCTTCATTTGAAAATTAGCACGTCTTCATTTCAAACGAAATTATGTTGTTTGTGCACACGGGCGCTTACAGGCAAACGTTTGCATTGGCCTTTCCGCGCGGCGACCATGGATCTTTTTTCATTTTTTTTCACCGAAGTTGCCAACATCCCCACCGCCCGCCCCCGTTTCACTCAATAGTCCACCCAATCTCCATCGCCAGCTCCCCCTCCCCCAGATCCACACCAGAACCCTCTCTAGCGCCGGCATGCTCAACCCAGCCATGTGCCCGCTCTTCGGTGTCACCCTACCTCCACTGCCGTTCCCAACACGCGGCTGCCCGTGCCTCGTCGTCTTCATTTGCTCGCCAGCCGTCCTCGAGAATATCAATCTTGTAACCCTCGCCTCTCCTATGGTCTTGCCGGGTTTGCACAAAAATCGGTTAGTTCCTGCTCTCCATCACGGTGAAGCATATTTCCTCGCAATCCCTCTTCCTATCCCATTCGGTGTGTTCCTAAATTGGCCATAAAATAGTGGAGAGCGTATATATGTTCATTATCTACCTTTATAACTAGTACATATAAGTTGTATTTGTTCCAATTAGTTATTATCGATTTACAGATCGTAGGCGCCCGAGTCACACAAAGTTAACAAATTAGTCGTATATTTTCAAAATTATTGTGTCGGGGGGATGACCCCCGGGTATGCCCAAGACGACGAAAGGATGCTTCAAAACATTACCAGGGGAGTGCCCCCTGGCTGGCTGAATCTGGCTGGGTTGAACTTGGCTGGCTGGAATCTGGCTGGGTTGACCCTGGCCGGGTTGACTTTTTGCTAGGTTGACCTGTCCGGGTTGACTTTGGTCGGGTTGACCTGTCCGGGTTAACCTTGGTTGGGTTGACTG